TTGAATAGTTGAATAGTTGAAACTTCAACTATTCAATAATTGAATAGTTGAATTAATAGTTGAATAGTTGAATTCAACTTTCAAGTTTGACACTACTGCTCAGAGAAAGGCAAATCTTATCTCAACATCTAGTTTCTCTCCAAAGTTCTCATGAAGTTGTTAAAAATTGTCAGAAAGTATTAAGAACTCTAAGAGAAGATAGAACATTTTTGATATTTGTAGAAGCTACACATCAATAAGCTGAGAATCCGTACTCGTGTTCCAGAATATTCCAAACTTACTGTGATCTACATTATGCACATTGTCTCTAATAGAGTTCATCGCTCGAAAATTTTCGAACTAAAATCCGACCAAGTCCGAGTTCGGGATCAAACCGACAGGGTCTACTCCGGACTCCTCAGTGATTAATCAATTGGAAGACTTTATTCGTTAGATTGATTGACACCCTGATTTATGATAAGAAAATAATAAACTATCGAAAAATCTACAGATTCAATAAGAAGAATAATCCCAAACACTATAGATCCATATAATACTACATGAAAAACTAATAAATAAATTAACTTCTATCTGAGAATAACCATCAATAATTAAATTTTAAAAAATCGAAACTGTTGCTTTTTTTTATAGTTGAATATTGTTGATCTATTTCCTTCGTTATTTTCGAGATATGCAATCTTATGAAAGACCAAGTAGATCTTCTATAAATTCTACTCAATTAAAATCTTCAATTGATGATCAAAATTCGAATTCCTATTTCAATATAAACTTTTCCTTCACTTCTATCATTTACATCATTTGTTTCATCACCAGTAATATTTCTTTTTTTCCTCATGTCAATTCATCCTATTGGATTGATACACTTTATATAACAAAACAAATATAAATCGTCATAGATGGGATTTCGAACAACCTGAAATACATAAACAAGAATAAAATAATCAACAAATAATAGCTTGAATAGATATATTTGATTTCGAAAGAACAACACCATCTATATAACATACAAATCAATTTCGTTATAGATTAAATCAAGAAGATTTAAATAAAAAAAAAATTCTTTTTTACTTTATTTATTAATATATTAATAAAAACATATTCATCTTCTACTTTAATCAAAATATTCATCATTGAAACAATATCAATAAAATAACCTTCAACAAAACATCAACAACATTTATTAGGTTTAGAGAATTATTCAACAATAAATTATTTAACAAGAAAAAATGAAAAAAAAAAAAAAATTTTATTTTCATTAAATTTATTAATATAATTTATTTATACAATTTAAATGTTTATTATTAAATGAAATATTTTTATAACATAGATTTATTAATCGATCAAGAACAATATCTATATCTATCGACAACATTTATATTAATTATTATTATTAATCATAATCATATTGAAATTTTTTTTGAAAATTTTTTTTTTTTTAATTTATTTCAAATTAATTATCAATATTTACTTCGATTTAAATTATCAGCAGGATTTAAATCGTTTTTTATTATTATTCGACAATCGACTAATCAATATCAATATCAATTTGGCTCAAAAATTTTGCAATGGTTATTAACAATTAACAGATATTATTCAACAAAAACTTCTACTATACAAAAACAATTATTAAGAAATAACGAACCAAATATATATTAACTAACATCAACAACGAGCGTTTATTGAAAAATTGTTCGAATAATAGAACTTTGTTGTAGGCAACAAAGTCTCAACCAATAAAACTAAAATAATCATTTTTGTGTACTCAAAAAGTGAGTACACTCTAGAATCGGTCAGTGTGTCCGGCCGTTTACACGATAACGTTTGAAAGAAGAGTCCAATCGCGATGAAATTTTCTACACAGTTTATTCTTAACAATGTCTCGGTCGAGTTCGAAGATGAGAAGGATTGGCCAAGCCATTCCCGAGTTATTGCAAAAATAGTCAGTTTTCCCTATGCTTTCCTATGAGAAGATAGACCCTTCTCTGCTTTCATAAAAAACTTTTCCTATCATAGTCAAATAAAACCCCAACTATTATATACCATTCAATAGAGAATTTCATGAGCTACAAAATGGTATATAAAACATAAGGAAACAAGAAAGTTAACTCACCTATTGCAAAGACAATTAAACGGAATTCGGTTCTGTGTTTGTCCACGCTCTAATTGATCCATAAATCGAGCTCTATCTTTCGATCACAGAGATGATAGTTCGAGGTTTTCTGGGGTGGAGAACTCGAATCTGTGTTTCATGCGCCTCGAAATTCCATTGGTTGAGCAGTGACCAATAGAAATGAAGTTATAGGAAAAACGAGTCTCTTAGGGTAAATCAAGGTGAAGAGTTCAAATCTAAGCTGTATCTGCCTCCAAATCCTATTGGTTGAGCAGTAGCCAATATAAATCAAGTGTTTATAGAAAAGGTTTGCCAGGACAATTTTGATGTCCACACGTTCTAGGATGACTCATCTGCCTAATTCACTTTTCTTCAGTACACATAACTCTCGGATTTAAATCCGAAGTTTCCACATTTATTTATGTTAGAAAAACATACACATTCCAAGAGAATAGGACTATTTTATCACTTTTTTTGTTTTTTTTTTTTAAATGAAAAATTTAGATAAAACATTTCTTATGTCATTTTGGAAACAAGATCTTTTGAGACTAGACGCAAAATTTCTACAATGAAAGCTCGTTGAGAAAAACCAGAAAATAGAAATTGTACCATTGTTTATCAGCCATCTATTGAGATGGCACTGAAAATAAATTCTATTAGTAAAATATATTCTGAACACTATTTTATTCTCGATTTATTTCAATATGAGTAGAAACTACTTTCTATGCAATCGTTGATAGATAGAACCGATACTCATAACAGCTATCAACACTACCGTCAACAAACATACCATATGTTAGAAGCGGCAAAGCCATGGGAGCTTGCTTAGGCTAGGAAAGGCTCAAATATTTGTTTCTCCTTCCATCAGTTTGATAGATTTATGCACTGCATCGAAACACTCCTATACAAACGTCAAACATTTTCACTGCTCTTGGTAACAATTAATAATGTTTTCCTACTGAAGGAGACTTAGAAAATGGTCAATTCTCTATGACTAAATGTTAGCTTCTATATTGTTAATCAGTTGAACTAGTACTCTTTTCTAACCAATTAAGTAGAATAGTACCGGCAACTCGAGTTAGATTAACTAAAACTTATCGAAAGTTTTTTTTTTTTTGTGAACCCTACTCTTTCATCATTATTCTATTTATCAGTAAAGTACATCGAAAACTCTTCTTGTGAAAGTCTAAATTAGGTAAAAATAGATGTTGGTCGATTTCTTTAAGGATACGTCTTTTTTACACAAGTTGACAAATGTTTTCTGAAATGTATCAGCTCTATACAATTCAACATATCAGTTATAAATAATAATCACTAGCTCGATTTCATTTCAATACCATAAAAACATTCGTCCTCCTCTTCCCGATGGAAATCTTATAAACGATTGCTAATCTTAACATAGACTCAAAATGTTCCACCGACGATGCGACTAAAGGTCATTGAGTGCAAAAATTTACGGACTTGGACTCAGACCTGATCGATTAAAATTTGTTGTATCCACATCCGGTCGGTAAAATTGTTTTGGATCCAAACCAAATGGTTCGATATGGGACATAGAATTCTAATTATTGTTATTTTTCTTACTTAAGATTTGGATTTTATGCTTATCCATTTGATGATCATTTATTTGATGTTGATCTATTAACATTAATTGAATGTTCTCTTCGTCAACCTTATTTTAATTCATCAACATCATCAACATTCAACAAATCGATCGCAATCATCACGTTCAATTGGTATAAATGATAATTGTTATCATCCAGGTATTTACCAATAAAACCATGTGATTAAGATACATTATATTCATCAACAAATATTCTCAATGTATTATCAAAAATTTAACCAAATTCTCTTTCATCATCATCAAATCTTTATTTAAAACGAAAACCAGCTCTATTTCAAATAACACTATTTAATTATACAATGGATTCATCAAGTGATGATACACATCTTTAATATGTTTATATTAGACATTTATTAAGATAACATAGATATGAACACAATAAACCCATCACCACCTTATCTTACATAAACAACTAGTTGAGATCATCTTTATAATTGAACAAGATCAAATTGAATGCCACGATCATCTATATAAAAATTAAATTGAACAAATCGATATCCATTTTCATTTTCAAGACCAAATATAAATAGATATGATTATAGACTTAATATGTTCCCAACATCAATAAATTCAACAGGAGAAACAAATGATAGAATATCAGTTATTGTTTCATCATTTCCAATATCAACAACAACAATTGATAATAAAATAAATAATAATTTAATTGGAACATCACTATGGTTAACACATTTACCATCAATATTTAAACGATAAACAAAGTTTACAAAAAGATAAATTAAAATTAATTGCAAAAAAAAAAGAAGCTACAACACAACACATCAATATTAAAAAAAAACATAGATTAAAATCAATATTAACAATACAAAATGAACAAAGATTATCAACAAATAATAATAATCATATTGATGATGAAAATCTTTAACAACAACAACAACAGATAATAACAATTGATTATATATTAACGATAAATATAAAATAATATTCAATATGGAGAGAATATTTACCATAATATCAATTTATAATTGATCGTTTATCAGGTGTTGATAGAACGTTATTTTCTTTTAGATTTTGGAGAACAATCTTACATTAAATTATATATTAATACAATCATCTCATTAATTAGCATTACTTAACTTTTCATTTTTTGTCATATGGTCAACATATATTATCAATACGTTTAACAGTTGGATATTTTTTTTTTTTTTTGTTATCCATATATATTAAATGATGATATTAATAATAATAATAATAATGAAAAATATGAAAAAAATAAAAAATAAAAATCAATGTTAAGGTATTTATAAAAGATAAATATAAAATAATGCATTATTGTCGACAATAATTATTTAATTTATTATCATCAACAAATAATATTGAAAATATTTATTATAAATCTATACAATTACAAATACAAGTTAATCATGCTAATTGACAAATAAATCAATCTAGAAAGATTTTTAACAATCGATCATATACAACATTTATCATCAACAACCAACTAACCAATTATTTATAATTATTACCAGATTTATTAATAAGTCAATTAACATCATTATCAGGAATGATGCAACAAACAGACAGATTATATCATTTATTATATAAAATCTAACATAATTATATTCTATTTTTTTGATATATCATATAAATATCTATTAGTTAGGATATAGACAACCTGGAAACACGAAAATAGACGATTTTATCTATTAAGGATACTTATTTATATCTATGATAAAAACATTTCAGTCCGATTGAATAAAGTTAGATGGTGGATGTTAACAGCCAGAATTGAGGAAATTATCCTTTTTTGTTACATCAACAAGGGAACAACCTGAAGCGATACTTGCCATTTGAGCTTATATTATGAGATCAAACGGTGGGCATCAGTTCGGCTAGTTTTCTTCTAAGTCAAAGACGAGCAGCTCCAAATTGAGTTTTTGGTGAAAAAATATAGACGTTTCCATAAGACTCCCGAGACTTGATATATTTAAGTCTATTGCAATATTCATAGGCTTTTTTTTTTCCAAACCAAACTCTTCGAAGTGTTATTATAAAAACATATTCAGAGTTAACTTAACAATCTCTATTCGATGATGATGCGAAACGATTTTACTCAGTTTCGTCGAATATTTGATGGTTTAGATTGTAAAAGAAAATTTTTATTTAAATTTTTTAGTGTTGTTTGCATATTCTTCATTTATTTATTTAAATGATCTTTTACAAATATTTGATAGATTTCCTATTCGTCATCGAAAAATAATTTATATGACAAAACGTTTTGTTATAATTATCTTCATATCATTGATGGTGGACTCAATTTTTTAAAGAATATTTTCAATGTTATTTTATTTCAAATTATATATTAACAACTGATCAACAACAATCATTATTTATAATCATTGTTTATTTATGTCAACAAAGATTATTAATAATAAATTCTTCAAGTAAAACAACTATTTATTATAATCATTTATTAGCTATTGAATATATAAATTATTATTAAATAGAAATAATAAATATCAATCAATTGAAATTAATATATCGTTTATATGAATAAAATTAATTTCTTTATTCATATAAAAAAAGAAATTTTTCACAATTAATTAATAAATATTGGTAATTTTGACATAGATCATCTATAATAGAACAGTCCACATATAATAAATTCAGAAAATAATTATCGTCGAAACATTATTTTAAAAAATCAAAATTATCATCATCATTAACAAGACAAAGACAAATAGAAATACAAATATCAACAATAATTCTATCAGGAAAAAATTCAATTGATTATTGATTAGTTTTACAAGTTTAAAAATATCTTATTTATATATTTATTGAAAATAATTATTTATCAAATGATTTATATCGAATTTATTATCTTATAGAATTGGTTCATCTGAACCATTTTTATTATTAAATAAATATATAAATAAACGATTATTTTATTTTATTTATTTTAAATACTCAACAAATATTGATAATTATATATATTTAACAAATTAAATTAATATAAATAATTAATGATGATAAACAATTTAATGATGAACATAAAAAAAAAAACAAAAACATTTTCCAGTATTTAAAAAATCAAAAAAAAAAAAAATCTAATAATAATAATAGAAAAGAAATTTTTGTAGAATTTCAAAATAAAAAAAACATCTGAACAAGATCTATTATATCCAAGAAGAGAAGATTTTTAAATAGTTTTAACTCAATCATCATCATATCAACTAAGATCAATAATAAATAATTTAAATAACGATTTAAATACCATTTTCAATTGATATTCGTCGTTTATAGGAATATTTAATTTATATATTTGATTTATTTTTAATAAATCAATAATATAACAATACAAATCATTATTAAATAAATATTTATTTCAATTAAAACAATATACTATTTATTAGAATTTAAATATAAAACAATTTATTTATTAAATTATATTTATCAATATATTTTATGGAATTTTTTTTTTTTTTTTTTTTCTTTTGAACAATATCATTTTATATAATATGATTTATACAATTTATTATCATCAGATTAAATTATATCATTAAAAAATTCTTCAACAAAATATAAATCATTAACAAATATATATATATACAAACAACAGAACACAATTTATAATAATCAACCATCAATTAATATTTATTTAAAATGATTATTTATTATATAAATTAATAGATTAGATAAATAATTCAAATTTTTATTAGAATTATCATTAGTAACAATACCTTTATTGGATAATTTATTTTCTTTATTATATTATACAACTAGAAATAATGATTTAGCTTAACAAATTAAACAAATATCGTTTCAACGGTTATATTGATAAGAGTTTATTTTATAAACGTTTTCTTTAAATTTATTCAAACAACACAAATAGAGATGTGTGTCGACCGATAGACAATGACTGGAACCGAATCGGTACTAGGAATTAGATAAGTTTTACTCAGACTATGGTCGGGAACGGTCCAAGATAAGAACTATGTCGGTCATAGTTCTTACCTTGGCCCGATGTCGATCATACTCTTGGTAACACTGGTCTAACTCTGACTCCAATTTCATTCCGGTCCCACACATATCCGTATGGATTTGACAAAGTAACAAAAAAAAAAAAAAAAAAAAAAAACTAATCAATTCTATCAGGAGTGTTCATTGCGGCGACGGCAGTGCACAAGCTTTTCTTTTCTATAATCGCACTAGTTTTTGTTGATAGGTGATGAATAGTCCTCTTTTCAAATTGAATAATAATTAACTTATTTAAAATTGTGTTTCCTAGATGAATAAAATCAATCGTCAAGATATTCAGTGATCAACTAATGTCAATAGTCGTTATCTTAATACTCTTCAATCTATTGTTGATCATCTTATAATTAATGGTTTTCATGCTCCTTTAAATAGTCATTTTCAATTTTTTAACTTATCTATTTAAAAACAAAAAATGTTCTCAATCAACATCATCAATAGGTTTAAAACTTTGTCGTGTAATATAATTGATTTTGTTTGGTCATTTTTTTTTTATCCATATTGACGATTATAATTTACACAAAATGATATAGATCGATTAATATGTTTTATTAATTATGATCGTATTGATCATAATCATCTTCAATAAGTTGATTCATTTTTTGATCATCTATAAATAAATGGCAATTAATCAATAGAGTTAATAAACTTTATCGAAAAACTAATTAATCAACATCAACAATATTCAAAATGATGATCATCAATAGGTGGTCAATGTTATTTATATGATAGATGTTGACGAGAAATGATATTATTAATAAGAAAATAAACGGAACAATAGATATAAAACAATTGATCAAAAACATAAACGTTTCTAAAATGAATAAACAAATATAAATAAAAATTCTATTGAAGATAAATATTTTGATAATATACTTCAATCAATTTATTGATCACCATCAATATCATTTAATTGATCAAGAAAATATTTTCCTCAATCAATAACATAATTCATCATATATACATAGAACAATAGATTTTTATTTTAATTATTTAATATCTCTTGTTTATTATATTTATTTATTTATTTTTTAATCATCATTTATATCAGAAACAATTTCTATTTTAACAATAATATATCATTATTTAACAAGAGCATCCATTATTATTAGTTATTTATTTATTCAATAGATAATAGAAATCTATTTATTGAATTATTAAATCAATATTTATTTATTGAATTATTTATCAAATCAAAGATAAATACCATCAATAGAAGGTATGTTATTATAAAAGACAATCATTATATAATAGAATTGATATTGGTTAAAGAAATTTATCATCACTATCTTAAATAACATATTCAATATCAATATTCAAGATCATTTTATTTATTAATATAATAAAATAATAATAACAATAAGATGATCATCACCTCATTTATATTGACCATGATGTAAATATAGATATTTACCTAATGACACAACATTCTAAATAAACATAACTATTTCCATATTGATTTATATTAAAATCAATATAAATAAGACCATTTATACAATTATCAATTAATCATTATAGAATTTGTCATATAGTGAGATTCACTATTGTTATTTTCTGTTTCCTTTCTTTTCATTTCTGTTGTTTTTCTTTCGTTCTTTCATCTTCCCTTGATCTCAACTTGTATTCGTTATTTTTGATCAAGGTCAAATAAATGTTATATATAGGCCTTGATCCTGTTCTCTATTACGTAATAATATTCTCTACTACGTAATAATGTTGTCTACTACGGAATATCTCTGTCTATTGTGATGGATATATATTCTTTTGTTTTTCATAATAAACGTTTGCGTTTACGTATTACCTTCAATACGTGATAGAATTATTTTGATAAATTAAATAGAAATTTAAAGATAATATCCATCATCAATAGACATGTTATATATTATTTAATAGTTATTATTTAAAACCATGTTCAGATTTATTAAATAGAGAAAGAGAACAAATAATTAATGTTATGATTAACAAAATCAATTGATTTTGTTAAAGAATAACCTATAGATATTTATAAATCAATCTTATCATTATAGAATTGATTTCGAACAAATATCAATATATGGTTATTATAGATATTATCAATAAATAATTATTGAACAAATAAATCATCGATATTAAATATAAATATCAATTGTTTATAGTAAAAAAAAAATATAAATTAATAAAAAGATAAAATGATTATGATTATATAAAATAAATCTATTGATCAACAAGAAAATAGATATATTATTAATAATAGTGATGAAATATAAATTATATTATCAAATAAATATCCTTCAATTTAATCATTATTTACAATTAATAGATTTATCTTTAACAAAAAAATTCATTTATTTTAAACGATATTTTATATGAAAAATTTAAATTTATACTTAAACATATATTTATTTAATATAAATTATTTTCTTTTTAATTATATATTTTTTATTAATTATAATTGTAGAAATAAACAATTTGATTTATTTATTTTATAATCATTTTAATATTTTATCAGAATTATTTTGTTAATGAAAATAATATTCAATATTTAATTTATTATATTAATTTATTAATTTATTAATAAATCAAACAAATAATTAATTATATTTTATCGAAAATATAATATAAACACTTGATCATTATTTACCATAAATATTTATTTTAAAATAATTCATCCGTTATTTATATCAATAAGACCATTATTAGTTTCGATTTATATTAATAATAAATGCGGAAACCTCGGATTTAAATCCGAGAGTTATGTGTACTGAAGAAAAGTGAATGGGACAGATGAGTCATCCTAGAATGTCTGGACATCAAAGTTATCCTGACAAACCTTTCTATAATACGCTTGATTTCTATTGGCTACTGCTCAAACAATAGGATTTGGGGACGAATACAGCTCAGATTTGAACTCTTCGCCTTGATTTACTCTAAGAAAGTCGGTTTTCCTATAACTTGATTTCTATTGGTCACTGCTCAACCAATGGAATTTTGAGGCGAATGGAACATAGATTCGAGTTCTCCATTCTAGAAAACCTACAACTATCACCTCTGTGATGGGAAGATAGACCTCTATTTGTGGATCACATAGAGCGTGGACAAAAACAGAACCGAATTTCGATTAATTCACTAGTCGACGTTCTTGCCTCTCGTCTTGCCAGATTCTTGATTTTCTTAGCTATCAGTCAAGATTCTTTTGCCCTTCCTTCTATACAAGATTCTTGCCTGAAAAAACAGATCTTGACCTTCTTGTGGTATTCTTGTAGACCGAATCTTGTCTGGCGAGGCAAGAAATTCATCCCCAGGCAAGATTCTTGTCTTCTTGTTTTCTTGCCTGATTCTTTCTTTTCTTGACTTCTTATCTGATTCTTGTTTTCTTGTAATTCTTGTGATACAAATACGGATGTGGGCTTAGTCTTAGCATTGCATTAATTTAATGCTAATACCAGTACTTTTGTATAATGATACTATCGTATATGACGCCGTTTGTCATCGTATAGGCATAAGCATCTAATTAGTGAAGAGAGGGGTGACTTATTGTCACTTTCCTCTCATCTCCTTAACGCAAGCTTTCCAAAAATAATCGTAATCATAAAAGGCCTTTTTGAAAAAATAAATTTATTATAAGTATTTTAAATAATATTTTTATTATTCAAAATAGTTTTTTTATTATAAAATAAAAAAAATTATTTAAAACAATAAGAAAATATTAAATATATTGAAAAAAGAACTTACCATGGAATGTGCTGTTGAGTCGCATCTAAACAAAAAAAAAGATTTTTTATTTAATAAAAAGACTTACGCTTTGATTGTGTCGTTGAGTTGAATCTAAAATAGAAAAAAAATTCATTTCAATAATAATACTTACCATTTGATTGTACCATTGAATTGAACCTAAACGAAGAAAAAAAAATATTTTCTTTAACTAATTATACTTTCTATTTGATTGTATCGTTGAGTTGAATCTAAATAAATAAATAAAAATTATTTCAATAATACTTACCACTGGTTGTAGCATTGAGTTGAATCTAAAATGAAAAAAACACTATTTTATTTAATAAAAATACTTACCATTGGTTATGTCGTTGAGTTGAATCTGAAATATAAAAAAAATATTTTATTGAATAACAATATTTATCACTGCTTGTGACATTGAATTGGACATAAATGAAAGATAAAAATTATTTGATTTAAAATAATACTTATCAATAATTATTGGATTGAAATGGAACTAAACAAAAGATTAAAAATATATTTAATTGAAAAAAAATACTTACCATTATTTTGTGCCGTTGAGATGGACCTAAATAAAAGAAAAAATTATTTAATTTAGAATAGTACTTACCTTTGGTTTTGTCGTTGAGATGAATCTAAATGAAAGGAAAAAATTAATCTTTTTTAAAAAGTAACTTACGGTTTAAACGACAATAGTACAATCGTATACGACCGTCACAAGCATAAATGAATAAGTAACGGTCATACGTCTATATTTATATATGTATTTGAACAAAGACATCACGTGCTGTTGATCTTGAAGATCAGATAAGAATCTTTTAAAAGAAAAAAAAAGAAGCTTGTCTGAATTTCAAGAACTTTTTAAATATCTTGTGGTTCTTTCAAGATTCTTGTTTTTCTGATATATTAGACAACATTCTTGTCATCTTGAACTTCAGTCAAGATTCTTTTGAAAGGAAAGAAAGAAGATTCTTGTCTGAACTTTTAAAAAATCTTGAACATCTTGTCATTCTTGTCTGATTCTTTTACTTCTGAGTAATCAGACAAGATTCTTTTCATCCTGAACTTCTGGCAAGAATCTTTTTTCTTTCCTCTCAAAAGGAATCTTGTCTGACCATCATGATTATTAAGAATCTTGTCTGATAACCAAGAAAAACAAGAATCTGGCAAGACGAGAGGCAAGAACGTCGACTAGTGTTATCTTTGCAATAGGCGAGTTAGCTTTCTTGTTTCTTTATGTTTTATATACCATTTTGTAGCTCGTGAAATTCTCTATCGAATGGTATATAATAGTTAGGGTTTTATTTGACTATGATAGGAAAAGTTTTTTATGAAAACAGAGAAGGGTCTATCTTCTCATAGGGAAAAATGACTATTTTTGCAATAACTCGGGAATGGCTTGGCCAATCCTTCTCATCTTCGAACTCGACCGAGACATTGTTAAGACTAAACTGTGTAGAAAATTTCATCGCGATTGGACTCTTCTTTCAAACGTTATCGTGTAAACGGCCGGACACACTGACCGATTCTAGAGTGTACTCACTTTTTGAGTACACAAAAAACATCATAGATTTATTTGTTATTTTAAACAATTAAATATATGTTCATTAACTCGGCTATTTCTTAATAATATATTAATTAATCAATATTTTATTAAATCAATTCAACGAATTAAATCAACAACATTGAATATATATCAAATAAACACATCTATTTATTTATTTATCATAAACTTGATTATTTAATTAAAATAATTAAATATTCAAATCTAGAAATATGTCCTTTCAAAAGACAATAATTCCATAAAATATATCGACAATTATTTTATAATCGAAATATATCATCATTTATATAATCACCATCGATTTTCTTAACACATCTTCATAGAGACCTTTTGATAAATATTATCTATATTTAATAGAACAAATCAAATAAATATCTTATTAATATCATCATATTTACCTTATTTAACTGACCAACCTCTTTAACAACGATCGTCGATTAGAAGAAGATATTTCGAATATATATTAAGGTTAACCTTCTAGTTAACAGATGAATATATCCTATGTTTAATAAATAGACGAGATTATCCAATAAATAAAGGTCAATATTGTGAATTTGAAAACAAATTCACTTTATCATAACATTAATTCAACGATTGTTCTCAATCAATCAATATTCGACAATTTATTAAAAAGTTTGTTTGTTTTTTATTATTTACAAGCTAATATATCGAGAGATAATAATTATATTAAAAATAAATATTATTTAATTAAACGATCAACTAAACCAATAAATAATAATCATTGAAGATAAATAGAACCAACTGAATTTGTTTAATTAAGATCAACAATAGAAGGAAACATTAACAACAACAATCAATAAGGTTTGTTATGTCAGGAGAGACATCTCCTGACATAAGAGGGCTCTCTCTGTAACATTACGCCTATCGATAATGGCATTCCTTTTCGTTGCTCCATGATATCTCTTTGTTTTGAAAAATAAACAAGGAGGTATATCATGGAAGAAGAGAGAAAGAGAGAACAACATTCTTTGCTTCTTTTTTTTTGTTTTTTTTGGATTCATTCGATTGTTTTGTTTTTTAAAGAAAGAAAGAAATGAGAATAATAAAGAAAACGGGAAAAAGGACCTAACAATTTGGTGCACTAGCCGGGGTTGGTTATTATTCGTCTGGTTCCTGTATGCTAACACGACAAGGTGCAACACGACTTATTGAAGCTGAATTTAATCGATTAGCCAATATTGATATTAATTTCCCTGATCGTACAACAATACATCCAGTAGTTTATCGTCCTACTGAACTCATCATGGCAGAAAAAACCGTCGCAACACTTCTCAGTAAAACTTTGGAACAAACACCTAAATACTCTGGTAAATCGGATCAAGATGCTGATGAATGGCTGAAGGATTTAACTGCTACCTTTCGCATGGCTGATATTACAGAATCACAAGCATTAAAAATAATACCAACTTTCTTGGAGGGACATGCTAAACAATGGTTTAATGAAAATAATACAATATTCGAATCCTGGAGTGCATTTAAAGTTGCATTTATTCATACGTATTCATCTCCAACAGCAAAGCAATTAGCGTCCAATCGCTTACGAACTCGCCAGCAACGATATGATGAAGCTGTTATTGAATATTATACAGATGTTATGAAATTATGCAAATTAGTTGATCCAAACATGACCGATGCATCCAAACTTGATCATTTATATCGTGGATTAAAATCATCTTTAATGAAAGAAGTATTACGTCAAGCTCCATCAACACCATCCGAATTTTTCGAACAAGCACGACGCGAAGAAAATTTAGAACGTCTAGTTGCTACGTCTGTTCATCAAACAAATGATACTGATACACAAGCAATAAATTATCCAAACACTTAATTATATAGACCTACACAATCTAATGAATATATGCACTCTCACAATTCACCAAATATATATTCTGAAGGTTATTCTCCAAATGTATATTCACCTCGATCAGTATATACTCGATTTCACCATCAGTCATCGCCACGTCACCCATCTCCAGCTCACCCATCTTCGTTTAACGCTTTACGTTATCAGCCGCGCCCCTTACGATGTTATCTATGTCACAAACTAGGCCATTTTGCTCGTGATTGTCGATCTGCAAAAAACTATTAAGGGAGTCAAGTGATGGTAGTGACTCCCTCCCACCGCGACCATCATTATTTTCTTCATCAGCAAATAATACCTATTCTGTACAAAATCCAAATATTCACCACCGATTCGTTCCATTCCACCGACATCGTATTAATCGCAACACAATAAAACATCCGACTTACTCGATACCCCCTCGCACATTTCTAAAAATTAACTACTCTCGGCAACATTCCGTTAACTCCATCGGAAAACACCGCACCGTCAGCCAAAATATTAAAAAGCCCAACCCGTCATTAATTTTTATCAACACTACTGTCAATGGTTCACGTCTACGTGCTATGGTAGATACTGGTGCCACTCATTCATTTATCACTCAACGTGCATTGAGCACATTATACCATTCAGCAGTACCCTCATGTGATCGTATAGCTCAATTAGGTGATGGTCACACCCTGCTTAAAATATTGGGTGAAGTTCAATTATTATTGCAATTTGATAGAGTTTTTACACCTTTAAATGTGCTCGTCGTCAAAACCATGAATACAGATTTTATACTTGGCAGTGATTGGTGTACTGAAAATGCAACACGAATTGATTATCATACAAATCAGGTGTCTATATGTTCAAAAAACGGTCGTATTTTTATTCCATTCGACAGATGCATTGATTATTTAACTTTAGATGTCAAATCCATTAATGTAATTCATATTCCTCCACGTGAATCATACACTGTTCAAGCCAAAGTCGAATTATCATCAGCTGATACCGTCTACTTCTCGCCTATTGATGTTATACAATCCGAAAACTCTATTATCATGTCACCGGCGTTGTTACACATAAATAATTATACTACATATCTAGAAGTATATAATCCACATGATTACACCTATACATTACCAACAAATACGCTTCTAGGTCGAGTCACACACACACCGTATCACGTACCTTCATTCTTATTATTTGATCCATCTAGCAGACCCTCATCAGTATCGTCTCAACCTCATATTCTTAATGCGATTGAACTCGAACAAACATCTCCTGAAACATCCCAAACAATTGATCACTTAATTGCTCATATTACAAATGTTCAAGACAAACAACAATTACGGTCCATATTGCACAAACACATGAAACTTTTTGACACTTCGAAAGTTACACAAGCCAACACGCCTATTCAACATACTATCAACACCGGTGATAGCCTTCCGGTTAGTTCACGACCTTACCCACGAACCATTGAACAACGGCGTGAACTTCAAGATGAAATCCAAAAAATGATACAAACTAATCAAATTCGCCCATCAAATTCACCTTGGTCATCTCCAGTTATTATTCACAAAAAAAAGGATGGTGGTATTCGATTTTTAGTCGATTATCGAAAATTAAACTCGGTGACCAAAAAAGATTGTTTTCCTCAACCAACAACTGAAGAATTATTACATCGATTAGGTGGTCATCGCTTTTATACAAAATTAGATCTTAAATCAGGTTATTTTCAACTTCCAATACATGAAAAAGATAAAGAAAAAACAGCGTTTATCACACAAGATGGTTTATGGGAGTTCAATGTTCTTCCACAAGGTATTATGAATGGACCACCAACTTTTCAAAGGACTATGCACAATCTCCTTGGTTATGGACGTTGGGATTATGTCATGGTTTATTTAGATGATATTTTGATATTTTCACGTAGCTTCGATGAACATAAAAAACATTTAAACGAAATTTTATCCATATTAGCTAAAGCCAACTTCCAAGTTAATCCTGATAAATGTTCCATTGCTGTTCAAGAAATAGATTTTCTAAGTCATACAGTCAACGAACAATGCATTAAACCTAATGGTGATAAAATTAAAGCTATTATTGATTTACCAGCTCCAAAAACACTAACAGAAGCAAATGAATTTTTAGGAAAAATCAATTGGTATCGCAAGTTTATTTCTGATTTTGCTCGTATAGCTGCACCATTGCACAAAGTTACTAACAAAACAAAACATCATCGACATGAATTTACATGGGGACCTGATCAACAACAGTCAGTTGATGAATTTAAACGTATTCTGACAACATTTCCATTATTTTTAGAATATCCCGATTTATCAACTCCATTTGTATTAACAACGGATGCATCAGATATTGGAATAGGTGGAATTTTACGTCAAGATACACCGAATGGCACAAAAATTAATTACTTTAAGTCCCGTGTTTTAAATGATACTGAACGTAAATATGATACATTTGAAAAAGAAGCTTTAGCTATTTTCTGGTGCATTTCTGAACTTCGACCATATATAGGTGATTCTAATTTTATTGTCGAAACTGATCACAAACCACTTGAAAATTTTCATAACAAACAAATCAATAATAAACGGGTGATGAATTGGCTTTTCAAATTACAAGATATTTTGCCACAAATTATTGCAGTCAAGTATCGTGCAGGTGCAAATAACAGTGCCGCCGATTATATTTCACGGCATTTTCCTCCATCAGCATCTATCACCATTAATCCAGCTACAATAAATGTAACACATGATGATTGGCCAATTGGTGATCAGCACTGGTCTGAAGAAGTACCCAAACCACAACGTACACAATTTATTCAACCGTCTATTTCAAAAAACACTTGTATTCGCAATGCCGGTATCAATGCAGAAATTAATGCTGTTACAACACGAGCACAATCAAAACTTCAAGCTCAACTACGTTCACCTTCAGTACATACATCATCTACATCTCAATCTACGTGTTCTTCTCCATCAACGGCTAATCAATTATATGATTTTAGTTTATCACGTATACGTTCTGAACAAGCGCACGATGTAACTATCCAACAAATAATTCAACAAATTCGCAATAATCGTCATTATGAATCGTTTATTATTCAACAGGGTATTCTGTATAAATTAGCTCGCCGTGATGATACTACTATTAAACTTGTTTATGCACCTTCGAAATTAATTCCCGAACTAATGGCTGCTTATCATGATCACCCTCTAAGTGGTCATTTTGGCACCGGACGTACATGGTCTACATTAAGAAACACATATTATTGGCCACGTATGAAAGACACAATAACATCTTATATTAAATCATGTGATAAATGTTCGCAATTTAATGTGGATCGACATAAACCACCAGGATTTTTACAATCTATTCAACCACCTAATGATGTTTTTCAAATACTAGGTATGGATTGGTGGGGACCCACCACCACTTCGCTTTCTGGAAATCGATATGTTTTAGTTATAACTGATCGGTTGTCTGGTTATGTTTTTGCTAAAGCATCACCTACAAATACAGCTCAAGATTCTGCTCGCATCTTAATGGAAGAAATTATTTTAGTACATGGTTCACCAGACGTAATTATTACTGATCAAGGAACACACTTTCAGAACGAACTAATGCAAGCCATTTCACATTTAGTTGGTTGTAAACACATTTTTTCAACACCGTATCATCCACAAACAAATGGACAAACTGAACGATGGAACTCGACATTCGTAACACAAATCGCCAAATATTGTAATACTGATCAAAACAATTGGGACACATTTTTACCATCTATTGTTTATGCTTACAATAATGGTATACACAGCTCTACTGGATTCAGTCCTTATCAACTAGCATTCGGACGAAGACCACGGCATCCATTTAATCCTCCTGCATCTACATTCGTTTTTAATAAACCACATGACTATTGGATGCAGGTGATACAATATAGAAATGCAGCTTTAAAACAAGCAAAAGAAAATATTATACATCAACAAGAACTATCAAAAATTCGTTTTGATAAAAATCGATCACATCCGAATTTCGTTCCAGGTGATCTTGTATGGATGAAAATTTTTGTTGGACGACACAAACTTAAAGCTAGATACACTGGTCCTGCTCGAATCATTCGAATTTTCTCACCAGTATCCTTTATTGTTGAAGATGACAAATTTCAACGATTTCAAGTCCATTCGAACAATATTAGGCGTGTATATTCTCGGGAACAAGTCCTACCCTGAGAAAATTTTCTCTTCCTACGCTACCACATCACACGAATCATCACATATCCATATGTTATCTTTCATATTTACATTTACATATTTTCCACATCTGAATTTTATCATCGTTAATATTCGCAAAGTTTTATCTTTATATTTATTTCGTCGCTGCATTTCATTTTTCTTTTATCTTTCCATATACATTTTATATACAATTCACTATCGTCTTAAACGTATCGACTACGTCCTTCTCGGCTACTATGGCTTTCTTATTCATTTGTCTGTGGTTCATCACGTTCCATTCAATCGATGGTTTTCTTGATAGCAAACCGGTAGTCTCTTGTGATCAACGTTTTGATAGCAGCAACTGGACCCATTATGGGTTCTTGTTATTAATGGTCGTGGGAGCTTTAGTACTTATCGTTTTTCTTTTTTATGCTTATAAACGCTGTCGCACAATACTGAAGCTGGCTGAACAACAAGAACACGCATCACAACGTGCTCCCACACACGTCTCTTCCATGCTGCCAGCTTATTCACCACCGTATCCTCATATATCTAATTCCTCAGTACATCAACCATTACAACAATACACATCGTTATTACTTTCCCCCACCCGTGACCCAACATCTCCACTCGCTCCACCAACTCCAATCGTATCATAAACACTTCTTTATTGTTATCTGCAGTGTTGGTCTTTCTTAATCCTTTCTATTTCATATTCATTACTACGCATTCATAATTTTCTTTTCTACAGCTCATTATCTAATATTCTGCATCTAATTCATTCGCAATTCGTATTTTTTTCTTTATTTTCTCTCGGCTCTATTTTTTTTTGTATACGATTCACTTTATTTCAAACTTGTCTCTTTTGTTGTACTCTCTATCTTTTCTCGGTGGGGGAGGTGTTATGTCAGGAGAGACATCTCCTGACATAAGAGGGCTCTCTCTGTAACATTACGCCTATCGATAATGGCATTCCTTTTCGTTGCTCCATGATATCTCTTTGTTTTGAAAAATAAACAAGGAGGTATATCATGGAAGAAGAGAGAAAGAGAGAACAACATTCTTTGCTTCTTTTTTTTTGTTTTTTTTTGGATTCATTCGATTGTTTTGTTTTTTAAAGAAAGAAATGAGAATAATAAAGAAAACGGGAAAAGGGACCTAACATCATTCTTGACTCGGAATAATTCTTTTCACCAGGCCAACAATTGGTGATGTCTTCTTTTAATGTTGTTATTATGTAGGACCAAAAATAATTTTAGTCGAAACAATCACAATTAGTGTTATTTTTTCTCATCTTTCGATCGTCATTATTATTGTACGATATCAGATTTTAGTGAGAAAACATCTTGAGCTTGGCTGAAGGCATAACTTTAAATTAAGAGTGTCGATCGAAATTATTACTTGCACT